AACAGGAGACTGCTCCTTGTGTAACTTTGCAAACTACATAAATGCATTGTCTCTCTAAAAGATGAAATTAAAACCTGTTGGTTAACAAAAAAAAGTAGGTTTGATTTCTTTCTTTTTTTTCATATAGACACTCCCAGAAAGCACTGCTTGTTGTCATTTAGACTTTTCAGATAGAAACTGCCTAGCTCCACCTGATCCTAGAATCTAGCCTTAGAATGTGATCCTTAGAATCCAGTCCTACTGAGTGTCTCTATTGGCATTTATGGAAAATTGAACTGTAAGACTTTTCTAAAGGAGTTTGGTGACATGTATCAACACGTACAATTTTTATTTGTTTTTGAGACAAGATCTCACTCTTTGGTTCGGGCTGGCCTCAAATTTACTATATAGCTGGCCTCAAACTCTCAGCAATCCTCCTGCCTCTGCCTCCTGAGTGCTGGGATTATGGGTGTGCACCACTCTGCTCTGCTCCAAGTGTACAATTTCCACACCCATCTACCCCACAATGGTGCCACTAAAAATCTGCCCTAAAGAAATCACTGGGCAACACTGTTCCTGCAGAATTATTTACTACAGGGGGCATTAGAGATTCCAAATAGAATCCACTTGCGTGGGGGCTGTGGCATCACCTGGGGTCACTATCATGCGTGCTGCAGGTCCGTGGACCCCATGCCAAGTTGTAGCGCCCCAGAAGCAAGCGCCTCCAGGCGTCTGTGCTCTCCCCATCCCTCCCTGGCTCCGGGTCGCGCACTCCACCCTGGGCGCCGCTCACCTTGTCTGTGTGGGGACGCGGTGGTTGGGGTTGGAGCAGAAGATGTTGTTGGACTTGCGCGTGCCGTCCAGGAACTCGTGCGCTGAATGCTGGCGCAGCTCAGCCAGCGGCCGCGCCTCGTGCTTGAGGAACCACTGGTGCGCCTCGAAGCATTTGGCGCACAGCAGCTGTTCGCACTCGAAGCACCAGAAGTCGGCCAGCTCCTTGCAGCGGGTGCAGGCTGCCTGCGCGTCCATGATCTGTCGGTACAGCGTCAGGCGCCGCTGCAGGCTCTCGAAAAACACGTTGTCCAGGGCCTGAACAGACCCGACCGGCTGGGGCGCCTGGCAGATGGGACAGTGCAAACCCGGTGCCTCTAGGCATGCCGAGCACAGTGTGTGCAAGCAGGGCAGCAGCTTGGGGCACTTGGCTTGGGTCTGGCAGCCCTGGCAGTTCAGGAACTGGAACTCCTCTTCCATGGCTTCCTGGGGGACCAAAGAGAAGGAAGTAGGCCCAGAGAAGTTCTGGCAGTCCCCACCCATGGCACTGGCCCTTGGCCGCAGGCCAGAGTGGAACCTGACATCCCGTTCTAGCCAGATGATGCAAAATCCTGGCCCAGCAACATCCCGGCTCCACATCTGCTCAGGATTTCCAGCTCCCGCTGCACAGCTAATTGCGCACTTACTTCCCTGATATCAGGCACAGACCTGCACCTTGAGAGACAAGAGTGTATAGGGATACACACCTGCATTCAAGAAACTTGGTGTGGAAAGTAGATCGATAACTACCACCCTTATGTACAATGCTGAACAGTCAAGCGGGAGCTCAAAAAGTTAAACGCAGAGCTACCATATGACCCAGCAGTTCACCTAGTAGATATAATACCCGAAGATATTTCTATTCTAATGCACATAGCAGCATTAGGTATAATACCCTAAAGAAATGAAAACAAAGACGCAGACATTTGTACTCTAATGTATTCTAATGCAGGTAGCATTATTAGTCACCATAGCCAAAAAGAACCAGTCTAGTGTCCACGAGCAGATGAGAAGGTACACAGATTTCTCCACGCAGAATGGGATATTATCCAGCCTTTGAAAGGGGTGAAATTTTGATACATGCAACAAGACTTTATGACTTCATGCAAAGTGGAATAAATCACAAACAATAATCCTAGGATTCCATTTATATGGAGTAGTCAAGTTCGCACACATAAAAAGAAAATAGGATGGAGGAAAGGAGAAAAGAAAGAAGGAAGGGAAAATATATATATACAAGATAGCTAAGATCATTGTACTACTAATTTCTAGTGGTTTATTGAAAGGAACAGTTAATGCTTAATTGGTCAATTTCGCATGCTTGTATCTGGTAATCTGAACAACTACTTTGAAGATAACAATATGCAATTCAACATCCCCTTGTTAATTTCCTAGTATCTTGTTTTGAAATTCTGTATTATTTTGATTTTTTTGTTTCTTTTTTTATTTTTTTTGTTCTCTTTCAAAAAAAAGAAAATAAAAGATTATCAGGGAATGAGGTGCTGTTGTCTAAAGAAGCAGCATTTCTTGTTTTTGTTTTTTTTTTTTTCTGGTACCAGGAATTGAACTCACAACCTTGTGCTTGCCAGGCAGGTGCTGTGCCGCTGAGCTAAATCCCCAGCCCCAAGAAGCAGCATTTCTAAGGTGATGAAAAGGCTCTAGAAGTAGACGGCGGCACGTTTACACACAAATGTGAATGTACTTAATGCCACTGAAGTGCACTTAGACACGGCGAACATGGTGACTTTTGGTATATGTGTTTCAGCATCATCACAAGAAGTCCCAAAAATGTGCCCACTCCAGTACCTGGTGAGTGAAAGTGCTGATTAATACTAATTAGTGTTGATTAGTAATATTCTCTATGCTAATAATCAAAATTATAGCCACGTGGTGTGACTTGTATCTTCATGAGTAAGGGGAGTAAACTCCTGGTGTAACAGAACAAAGGAGCTAAATGGGTCCTTTTGGGATAGGGTGGGAGGCAAGGCTGAGGCAAGACTTCCATTAGGGAGACCTAACAAGCCCTTTGAGGAGCAGCATGGCCAGGAAGGGGTTTCAAGAGAAGGACTTGGGAGAAGCCACAGAAGCTGTTTGGAGGCCTTGGTTCAAGTACCCCTCCAGTCTGGACCACAGGTCTCCATTTCTAGTCTGGGAACTTGGGATTTCCGGTTTTGCCATGCTTGAGCTGTGCCCCTTGCTCAGGCTGTGTAGCAGGACGCCACCTTCATTTCCCCCTAAACTATGGCCCTGCATCTGGGACAGTGCTAGAAGGCAAGGCTCATAGTAGAGGAGAGTCTGTTCCGGCTGCCCAGAGAAGGACCCATGGCCCGTTCTGACCCCCTTCTGCTCTGTCCTACCCACCGTGCCGCTCCTCCAGCCAGGAGGGTCAGGACCCTGGTGTGGCCTTCTCCCTGAGTGTCACTTTAAGGTGCTTCGCCACGTTCTCCTCGATGACTGGCTCTTCCCAACTCTCCCGCGCAGCACACCAATAACGCCTAAACCCCTTGTCCCCAGACCCATTAGTACCTCTGCCGGGCTGTGGCTGGGGCTGGGCGGTTGGCCTTCAGAGGGGGCCTCCGGGGGCGGCATGGTGGGTGAGCTGGGCGGGACAGGGGACTCCTGGAGGCCTGGAGATCTGGTGGCTGCAGGCTCTTGCTGCATGGAGCCCAGCTCAGTTTCGATTCTCTGCTCAGATCTGCAGGGCGGGAGGACAACTAGGAGCCCGAGGGCTGAATCGTCTGAGCAGTCCAGAGGGGAGGTGCCCGCTCAGAGCCCGCCTCCCGAGAGGAAGTGAGACAGGCAGGGCGGGCCTGGAGGTAGAGACGTGGGGTTTGCAGAGGATGTCAGACTGTGGAAAAGGAGGGCTGAGCCGCCAGAGAAGGGAAGCAGCTGCACACAGCTTTGAGCACCCCCCAGCTGGGACCAGACGCAGAGATGAATCACACATGGCCTCTGCTTTCAAACAACCCCGATCTAGTGGGAGAGCTGACCCCACAGGAGACTTTCATACAGTTTTGGGACTGGCTGCAAAGGAGACCCCTCAGCTGGGACTTGTGGGATCGGAGGGAATTCACCTGGGATTCAGGGGTGGGGGCCACTTACAAAGGAGAGACCAGCATGTGCAAAAAGCATGGGGGTTTCCAATGGGACAGCCAGTGTGGGGAGGGGTTTAGGACACTTTCAGGCTGAAGAGGGGACTCTGAGAAATGTGCCAGGATGAGATTGTAGCTAAGGAGTTTGGACCCATTATGAAGGTGACAGAGTTAGTGAAAGGTTTGGATCTGGGGAACCACAGGATCAGCTCTGCATGTCAGGACAGTCACTTTGACAGCCTAGGGACAAGGGACCTAGTCTAGTAGATCGGAAGTAGGATGCAAAAGAAACTGAGGCAGAGACTGGGAGGACAGTCCCTAGAGAGGAGGAGGACAGGATGAGTGGCAGTCAAGAAGGGAGGTGAATAGGCAGGGCGGGGACAGTGGGGAGAGCAGGCCAGCAATGTGAAGTGGGTGAGGACACAGCAAGTGAAGACTTGGCTCATGAAATGCAGGCTAGACCCCAGCTATAGGCAGCCATACTGGGCCACGACCCCTGGCTTCAAACTCCAAACCATCATCACCACTACCCTAACTTGCGTGCCCATTCTGCGTTCTGTTCCAAGGTGGGACACCCTAAAAGGGGATGGTAGCAGGGCCTTGTTCATGTAAAGCTAAACCACCTGCAGTGCACATGTTCAGACAGGGCTGGAGGGAGATCCAACATCCAGGGACCTGAGAGGTCTGGGGAGCACACCATCCCACCATCCTGTTCAGCATCTCCTGACACCCAGAAATTCAATCCACCAAACCAGGAAAACCCAAACATGATGGACAGCCATCTACAGAAGAGACCTAGAAATGGGCTATGAGCAGGACAGATGTGATGGTACACACCTATCATCCCAGCACTCCTCCTGAGACAAGATGATTGCTGCACATTCAGAGCCAGCCTGGAATACAGAGTGAGACCTTGTCTCAGACAAACAAACAGACACAAAAAGGAGCCAGGCATGGTGGTTCATGCTGTAATCTTGCCACTTGGGAGGCTGAGGCAGGTGGATCACTGTGAGTTCGAGGCCAGCTTGGGCTACATAGCAAGTTTAAGGCCAGCCTGAACTACACGTGAGACCCTTTCTCAAAAAAAAAAAAAAAAAAACCCAAATAAACAAAAACAAAAACCTGGAAAAAACCAAAACAAAAAAAAAAAAAGAAATGGGCTATGATGGGGATGGAGGGTGGAGCTGAGTGAACTGAGGAGGTGGAACTGGGCATACTTTATTAGTTTCTTTCCTCAAGTTGAAAGAAAGCTGGCCCCAGTAGCATCCTGTTGGCAGTTAATTCTTCTCAGGGTAAAATTTCTGCTGTTTGTGATCCCTGAGGACTTGCCTCATAGAGTTCTACCCTGGGCTCCCTGAGGGGTCTGCATGCCGTTTCCCTCTGTGTGCCTAAAGCCAAGCCTTTCTGCTCCACCTTGTCCACAGCGAGCCTACCACACATGACACAATGAATAGGTACTGAGATCTGCCCCCTGACAACCCTGCTGCGCTGTGGGAACACAAGGAGAAATTATTTGCTGGCTACAAGAAAATATATCCCTGGAGAAACCCTAAGTCCAGTGTGCGAGTCTGGAGAGGGGGTGCTGATAACCTCATTCCCTTCATTGTGGAGACTTGCCTACTGAACACCCACCTGGAAAGCCCACCATCCCCTCACCTTCTAAGTTAGGTGAGAGCAGGGACGAGTGGGAAGGGACCCCGCTAAACTCCGCAGGAGGCAGACCTCTCTCCACGTCCACAGTTCGGTCCTCCAGGCATAGGGGGCGCTGTGGGCGGCGGTTGCAGCCCGGCTGGCTTCCTGCTTTCGCTCCTGCTTGCGGCCGAGGGTGAACCCGGAAGCGGCGGGGTGGGAGACGCGCGCCCCGGCGCAGGCGCTGGGTGTGGCTCCCATAGCAACTATGTTTGGCCGGGCCGGTTACAGCCCGCTGCCCGTGGGGGATTTTGACCGCTTTCAGCAGTCGAACTTCGGCTTTCTGGGCGCGCGGAAGGGCTGTCTGTCCCCGGAGCGGGGCGGCGTGGGGCCAGGGGCCGGTGAGTGGCCTCTAGCACGGCGGGCCGGGGGGCTGCGGTACCCCCTGGCCCAGTCTCTGCTTCTTGGGCATCCTAGGGATGCGATGTGATGTGCGTCATGAACAGGGGCCTGCAGCCCCAGAGCCCTCGGGGACCCCGTCTCCGAACCTCACCCCACCACGTTTCTGTTAGGGCAGAGGCTGCGAGTCTCCTTAAGCATTGAAAGAAACCCAGGTCTAGGCAGAGGAGGTCATCGTACCCTATGGGTGTCTCCCTGTTGGCCGGTGAAGATGCACAGAGCAGAACGGCAGGTCTGCAGCTGCCGGTTGTGCCTACTCTGGCCCTGTCTTGCCCCAAGGCCTCCTGCAGCTCCTTTGGCCCAGGCCAGATGCCACGCACGTCCCAGCCTGCCCCTTGAGGATTTGCACCCTCCCTGCCCCTCCCGTAGGGATGACTACTCTGTCCAAGGATTCAGCCAGACGGAGACTTCATGCCCTGGGGCTTCGGGTTCCCGAAAGATGAAACAGGCTGTTGTCTGGTGCTTGTTCAGGATGAGAGGAGAAGGGAAGCAGAGAATAAACTCATGCCTGATTCTGGGGCTGTCTCTGTCCACTTCCATCCTGGACTCCTGGATCGCTCTTTGGCCTGAATGAGACAACTTCTTAGCTTCTGCCCTCAGCTGCTTGAATTGAAATACAAACTTTTGATGGGTTTTAAAGTGTAAAATGGGATGAGGACTAGAAAACCTTAGCTCTGCCTCTTGCTTCTATTAATGGTGTATGCTGTAGACTAAGGTTCCTCATCTCCATAAGGAACCCTCAAAAGCACACGTCTGGGGCTGTTGGTGGAGGAGGGGTGTGCTATTCCAGCAGTATTCAGTTTAATGCAGCATGTGTTTATGCATGTCCAGGTACTTCCTGTTCTGTGCCAAGCATGGGTAAGCAAGTAAATGAGACAAGGCATTAAGCCTGCTCAGTCAGTCAGCACACATGGCATGGCTTGGGTTCTTGGACTTCTTGTTCCCTAGCAGAGAATAAGGCCTTTGTGAAGACTGTTGGGCTTTGGACAGATTAGTTTTGATTTGAGGAGGAGAGAACCATCCCTAATGACCACCTTTCCCAGAGATACAGGCATAGTAGGCAAGGAGCTAAATTGAGAGCTGTGAGGCGGAAGGAAGGGGAAGGGGGGTGACAGGTGCCCACTGTACTCACAGCTGCCAGGCCCAGCCAGTACTGTGACTCCTCTGCTTTCTTGCCCCCAGATGTGCCCCAGAGCTGGCCCTCCTGCCTCTGCCATGGCCTCATCAGCTTCCTGGGGTTCTTGCTGCTGCTGCTCACCTTCCCCATTTCTGGCTGGTTTGCTCTAAAGGTAAGGCTGGCTGGCTCAGCTCCAGCATGGTTGGGCCACATTGAAGGCTCTGGAATTGATGCATAAATTCCCCATGTTCTTCTTTCTGTCCCTGAAATTATCATACCTCTGTGAAATAGGCAGGGGAATTGCCTGTCTCTGAGCTTTTCTGTTGCTGGGACAAAATACCTGATGTATACAATTTAAAGGAGAAAAGGATTATTTTGACTCAAGAGGGTTCAGTCCGTGGTTGGCTGGCTATTATGCGGACACACCATGGCAGAAGGGCATGGAAGAGGAAGGCTGCTCACCTCATGGCAGCCAGGGAATAGAGGGCAAGTGTCAGAGAAGGGAAGGGGATGCGGCAGGGTACCAGCTGAGATTCATCCACTGATGAGGATAGTGTGCTCTTGAACCAGTTGCCATCCCAAAGTCCTACTATTCAGATAAGGACACTGAAGCCCGTACTTATCCAAAGTCATCCTGGGAGCCAGGAAGGAGTAGGAACAAGTCTCCCCAAACTCTCAAGTCCTGGGATCTGGACACAGATATCCCGTCCAATCATCCTCCCTTTGGGTTAGGCCAAATTAGAAATCAGAACATCCAGCTCACCCCAGAAGATCATGTGCAGTAAGAAATCAGGACTTGTTTTCAACAAGGGTGGTGCAGACTGAAAAAGAATGACTGATAGAGCTGTAGTTGAGCATCGCAGCTGAAAGTAGACCCTGGACAGTCCTTACCCTTTATAGAGCTGTAGGCACTTGTTTCTGTAGAAAGCCTCTGGTTTGGATAGCCTGGGAGGGAGTCCATGGGTGTTCCTGGATCCTAGTTCTGAAATGCCACTTGAAACAAATTCTGTGTGACCTTGGACAAGTCACTTTGCCCCTCGGTTTGAACATAGCTTCATCGTGCCAGATCCAAGGGATCTGAAGCTGGCAAAGCCTTTGCTCAGGTGCTATTAGAGCCACTCAACCTCTTCCTCAAGGAATCCATGGGAAGGTGGTTTCCTGGTAGGAGTCACAGCTAGCTTCCAAGCAGAGATGAAGTTTTTCTAGGGGTGACATCAACACAGTGGGCTTTGGAGTCATTCAGACTGCATTCACATCATGCCTGTTTCCTGCAGGGGCTATGTGATTTCTGAGCCTTGGTTTTCTCATCTAGAAATAGCTAAGAATACTGGATTGTGACGAAGGCGAAGGGGACAGAGGGGAAGGAAGGACCTAGGCAAATGTCTCTGGCCAGCCTAGGCCAACCACATCCGACCTTTCTCTTTGCCACTTGGACAGATTGTGCCCACCTATGAGCGGATGATCGTGTTCCCTCTGGGCCGCATCCGCAACCCCCAGGGGCCTGGCATGGTTCTGCTCCTACCTTTCATCGACTCCTTTCAGAGAGTGGATCTGAGAACACGAGCCTTCAATGTCCCTCCTTGCAAGGTGAGAGGCTTCTAGCCTGATGTAGCAGTACACACTTATAATATCAGAGTCCTGGGAGGCAGAGGCAGGAGGATCTCAAGTTGGAACCCAGCCTGGTCAGTTAAGCAACTTTGCAAGACCCAGCCTCAAAATAAAAAGGGTTTGGGATGTAGCTCAGCATGAAGGCCCTGGGTTTAATCCCTGGTATATGTGTGTATGAAAGGCTTCCTCCCTAGTTGGAAAGAGTGGGTTTTGTGTTGAATGGACTGTGGGTACTGAGATCTTAGTCTATGGGTAGCTGTCTGGGGAAGAGGGGAAAGAGACTGGAAAATTGGGGTGGGGGCTGGGAGGGTCTCCTTGCTCCATTCCCCTGACTGCACATCCCTGGGAGCATCATTGGGCCTGTGAGGAGCTCACAGTCAGGTGAGTGGGTCACGCTGATGGCCCCTGCAGCCCTGGGCCCTGAGCGCCTTGTCTCTCCTGGCTGCCCCGCCAGCTGGCCTCCAAGGACGGGGCTGTGCTGTCCGTTGGGGCCGACGTCCAGTTCCGCATCTGGGACCCGGTGCTGTCGGTGATGACTGTGAAGGACCTGAACATGGCCACGCGCATGACGGCCCAGAACGCCATGACCAAGGCCTTGCTCCGGAGGCCACTGCGGGAGATCCAGATGGAGAAGCCCAAGATCAGCGAGCAGCTCCTGGTAGGCAGCTCCTGCCAAGGGAGAGCTCAGCCACTGGCACCAGGCCTGGCTTCCCTGCCCTGCCTGGGTTACTTTGAGCAAGGGCCAGATGACTGTGGGTATCCGCTGACCACGTGACCCTAGAGTGTAGCCAGGCTGGAGGAGCTGGGGGGTCTAGGTGGGGCTGTGCATTAAGGCGCATGCAGACCACAGCTACCATGGGCCAAGTATTTCTGAGAAGGCAGAAACTCTCAGGACCCTGACTGAATTTCACCCTTTGCTGCTGCTGCTGCTACTGTGATAACCAGGGACTTCAGGGACCCTGTGTGTTCTGTACTAGGTGGGTCCAGGGGAGGGGCAGGGCCCCCAGCTCAGCTCAGCCCAGCCACTGCCGGGGAGGTCCATGGGAACATTGGGCTCCCTTCCCTGACTTCTCCATGTGTATGAAAAACTGCCCGGAGTTCAAGCCTGACTTCCTGTTTGCCATGAGTGCACACATGTTGGCCTGTCCCTCACAGCCGTGCTCAACTTGTGCCTGTCCTCCAAGGGCAATGTGGGTAAAGTCGTCCCCCCACTCTGATTTCCTCAGGGGAGCTGGGGTCGGGGAGAGGGAAGCAGTGCCTGACCTGCAGGTCCCCTGTCCCTTTAGCAAGGACATCAGCAGGCAGCTCGGTACACTTCCTAGGGATCTGAGGGGTGCAGTCTTCACACACCTGCCCTAGAGTCTCAGCACACACAGCCCACCGGTTTTGCCGCGTGGAGGGCCAGGATTACTGTTTTACTTTGTGGGGAGGAAACCAAGGTTCGGACGCAATTCCACTTGCCTCTCAGAGCCAGGGTCAAGGGCAGAGCTGGGCCGGGTCCAGACCACCCACCCTGCAGCTGCAGCCCAGTCTGCCTCCAGCACTGCCGGGGTCACGCTGGGACAGCAGCGCCATTCACAGAAACACCGCCGTTCCCCTTCAGGAAGAGGGAATCAAGTGCAGCCTCAGGCAGCACTGCTTTGGTGTGAGGGAGGCCGTTGGAGGAAGTCTGTCCTGCACAGGAAGCGAGTGTCACGTAGGCCCCGTGGCCTGGCCACGTTGGCATCTGCATCATGGGGTCGGTGCTCAAGGGTGCAGCTGAATCTCAGGAAAGGCAGCGCCTTCCCGCCAGCCCCAGTGCAAGCCTGCATTTCTCATCCTCACTTGGCTGCTACCTGCCTTTCAGCTCGGGAGTGCAGACCCCTCAGCCACTCATACACAAGTGTACTAGACCAACGCCTCTCTTCTTGCTGGCAAAGGCCCCTGCCCTGCTGCCTGCCCTCCTGCCAGCTGGCCGGGCAGTGCTGGGCCACGCCTCTCCAGGGCTCCCTCCCTCCCTCCTTCCCTCCTTGCATCTTTCTATCTCCTCTCCTTCCTGCATGCAGACCTGCTCATCCTCTGCCTTGCTTCCCGTCTGGCCCCCCCGGCTTTCCCCCTTCCTGCTGGAGGCTCCCGTTCCCTCCCACCCTGCGTCCAGACATCCCCAGCTCCTGACTCAGCCCCTGCTCGTGTCATGGTGACCTCTGTCTTAGTGACCTCCGAGTCCTCCACCTGGTGGCAGCATTTGGCTCTGCTTCCTCTTTGACCCCGTCTGTCTCCTCGGGGTCTGTCACCCTCACGCCAGCTCATACCCTCCACCAGATCTGCTTCCTGCCTGGTGTGCAGTTTGGGACACTGTAACCCTTGGTCTGCTTACCGCATCCAGTGTCCACACAGCAGCCGAGGGATTTCTTTCCATGGAGCGGGGCTGCTCTGTGTGGGCCCACTCTGGTTCCGCACTGCCCAGGATAAACCCCTGAGCAGGAACAGGCCATCTCGGGCCCCTCAGCTGTCCCCACTCCCCCAGCCCACACTGGAGGGTCAACAAAATAGACCATGGGCCACTCAGTTTCCTGAGCATTCCAGGTTCTTCAGCCTGGACTTTGCACATGCTGTTCCCATTGCCTGGAAGGTCCCTGTCCCCTGCCTGTGTGGCCGCCCTCCTGTGAGGCTCTTACGCAGTGGGGCATTCCGGGGTGGCGGCTTCTCCAGGGCAGGTACGGTGTCTCTAGATCCCAAAGCAGGTGCTCAGGCAAGGTTTGTTGATTGAATTCCATCCCTTCCCACACTGTCTTCAGCTGGAAATCAACGAGGTGACTAGGGCCTGGGGGCTGGAGGTAGACCGCGTGGAGCTGGCAGTAGAGGCTGTGCTACAGCCGCCCCAGGACAGCCCAGCTGGACTCAGCCTGGACAGCACCCTGCAGCAGCTGGCCCTGCACCTGCTGGGTGGAGGCCTGAACTCGAAGGCAGGAGGCGCACCGCTCCCAGGGCCAGGTGAGCTGGGGGAGGAGGCTGGACATGCTCACCTACGTGGTGTCCAGCGTAGACTTTGGCACCTGCCCCGTAACCAAGCACCTCTGCAGTGCCCACCTTCCCAGCTGTTTAGCCACCCTGACCACATAGCCAACCAGAGCTGGGGAGGTGAAATAATTCTGGGTAAGTGGGTGAGTGCAGGTACCTTGCAGCCTCTGTGGGGTAGGCAGCAGGCCCGGAGGGTTGCTGCAAAGAGGTAGGGGGGTTACCTTAGAGACAGGACTTGAAGTTCAGGCTGGACACTGAAGGCAGCTTCTTAGAAGAGGATGTTGAACAGAGGTCTGAAGGGACAGTGGCCACCATGATCCTGCCCTTGACAGCCCACTGACCTTTCACCTCCTTCCCAGCGCTGCCTGCCACCCCGGTGGACACCTTGGAGATGGTGAGCGAGGTTGAGCCGGCTGCTGTCCATGCCGAGGCCTGGGCCGGGCCCAGCCCGAAGCAGCCATTGGCCGAGGGGCTGCTGATGGCCCTGCAGCCCTTCCTGTCTGAGGTCCTGGTCAGCCAGGTTGGCGCCTGCTACCAGTTCAACATTGTCCTGCCCGGGGGTGCCCAGAGCACCTACTTCCTGGACCTCACTACAGGTGCAGCTGTGCCCACCCTCCCCCCGCCCTGCTTGCTCTTCCACCCCCGTCCCCTCCCCGCAGGGTTTAGATTGCAGCAGTTTGGGGCGAACTCACGGCAGGCGGTGGGTGGCTCCAATGCACCCTTGCCGAAGGCAGCACAGCTCCGCCCTTTGAGAGCCCAGGCCATGAGCCTGTGTGTGTAGTAGTCTTCTCTGTGCCTGGTGTGTGCTGAGCCTTGTGTCACCTGCTTCTCCCTGTGGGTCTGAGCTCCCAGCTGCACTCTGCACACCGCCCCCCACCCCACTAAAGCTGATTTTCTTCCCTGCAGGCCAAGGCAGGGTGGGTCGCGGGGTGCCTGACCACATCCCTGACGTGGTGGTGGAGATGGCCGAGGCTGACCTGCAGGCCCTGCTGTGCAGGGAGCTTCGGCCCCTGGGTGCCTACATGAGCGGGCGGCTGCAGGTGAAGGGCGATCTGGCTGTGGCCATGAAGCTGGAGGCTGTGCTCCGGACCCTGAAGTAGCAGCTACCAAGGGCCACCTGTCTCCCAGCCCGAGCTGGCACTGGGCCGGCGGGCTTCTTGGAGGAGGACGGTGGAGGCCCAGCCAGGAGCTCTGGTGCAAGTGGGAGGGGCCGCCCTGCGCATCTGTCCTGTGGTGGCCCCTGGGCAGGCTCTGACCCCCTGCCCCCGTCTCTAGCCAAGTGCCCAGCCAGCTAGGAACAGTCTGATGCCACCTGGCCTGGGCCTGGGCCTGGGCCTGCAGGAGGGACTGAAGCATGTGGGCCCAAGTGTGTGAGCAGGGACCAGAGGGGGTGGGGAGGGCGGCAGCCCCAGGAAGAAGTTGCTGCTGCCCGTAGGTCGGCTCTGCCCACCCCCAGCAGTCCAGGCCTGGCTGGTATGGGAGGATGCGGGACAGCGGGGCTGCCGCTGACACTCTGTGCTGTGTACCTGATGTGGGGCCCAGGGCAGCTCATGGGGCCCTGATGTTCGTGCTTCTTCCAAGTCCCACGCCTGTGATCAATAAACGTGGTGTTCACAGTGTGGCCCAGGGTGTGGGGCGCAGACTGCCGGTATAGGTTGGACTTAGCGTCTACACGGTGGTGCCCTTGCCGCAGCCCAGGCAGACACCAGACCCTGGAGGTTCTTCCTCCGGGCCCCGAAAAGGTGTGGGCAAGGTGCTCTGTTCCTCTTTTCCTCTTGGCTTTTTCTGAGACAGGGTCTCATTATGTAGCCTAGGTTTGTCTTGAACTCTCAGTCACCCTCCCGCCTCAGCCTCCTGAGTTCTGGTATTGTAGACACACATATCCACACCTGGCTATCTGTTCTCTTTATAGTTGGGTACAGGTTTGTCAGGAAGTGGGGACATGATACGCCAGAGCTGGTCCTACAAACATTAACCCAATGAAGTTTGGGTGAGGGGCTCCAGTCACCTTCAAGAGAGGAGTCGGGGCCATGGCAGCTGCCCCATCACACTGCCCACTGCCCGAGTGCAGGGACACAGGCCTGGAGTCCAGGTCCTGGGCCCAGCCCAGCCCAGCCCCGCCCTACCCCAGGGACCACAGCCGAGGACCCGTGGCTCTCAGGAAGGGAAGTCCCCCTTTCTGGAAGGGCTGGTAGAGAAAAGGGAACCATACACGACAGCCAGGCCTCCCGTGGAGGCCCAGCCCCCAGCTGCCTTGTGACTCAGGCCTGTGCCTTGGCCCAGGCTCCTTGTAGTTCACCCACTGTCCCCGCCAGCACTGGTCCCGGCCTGTTGCTCCTGTAGGTCCTCACCTGCTAGGGCCACCTCCCTGGAGCCCAGCGTAGACCCCTTTCCTGTGCCTGGAGCTTGGAGTTCAGCTTGGGGTCCTCCCTCAGGCCCCAGCCTCTGCTTCCTGGGCCCTGTTCCAGGTTCCCACCCCCGACATGGCCACCCTGCAGCCCAGCGGTCATGTCCCTGCCTGAGGGCCCCTCATCCAGCAGTCACTGTGCCTGTCCCTCCCGTGGTTGGGCTCAAGCTGGGGCTTGGTCACCATGACTGCCTTCCAAGGCCGCCACCCCTAGCGGGAGCCTGGGGAGTCTCCCCAGCCTGTGCCACCTCCTCCCTGTCAGCTACCGGGAAGACAGCTCACTCTTGGGGAAACAGAAACTAGGGCTTTCAGGGGAAAGTGAAACTTGCCCGTGTGGGTGGAGGTAGAGGTCTATCGCTGCTGTTAACACCCCACCCTGCGCAGGCAGAGGGAGGACAGAGTAGCCCTTGCAGGCTGCAGGGGGTGCGGATGGGCCACCTGTGGGTCAGAGGCAGCGTCTGTTAGGAGATAAGACCTGTGGGAAGCCCCTGCCTGGGCACAGGCAGAAGGGGAAGGCTCTGATGTAGGCACCGGGAACCTCAGGTGTGACAGGGCTATGCGTAGGGACTTCGTGGGAAGGGGACAGAAGTAATGGCCCCTGGGTGCCAAATATATCCCTGTACCAAACGCGACACTTCCTGTATTTCCCCCTCAGGATAATCTAGTAGACATTATGCTACTTAATATGTTAATATGCAGTGCATTATTTTGAAATACGTATACTCTGAGTAGCTAATATATTTACACACGGTTTAAAAGTTTAAAAGAATTAAAGAGGCATACTAGGAGAATTGTCCCTCGTCCACTGGACTTCAACACGTGTGACCCAGACCTTCCTCAAAACAGGCTTCCTTGCCATTAGCCTCTCAGCTTTTCTCCCAGAAAGTTTTTGCTGTTATTTTAAAACACACTGTTATATAAGAAAATCCCAATACAAAGACAAATTACGCAGTGTGTTTAAATTTATTACAATGAAAGAGACATTGCCACGAATCTTTCCCACTTTAAACACACTTTCGCACCATTCTTGGCACTTTCTGAAGCAGGTCTGGAAGTCCTCTTTTGTGAGTAATGGGTTAATATTATTTATTTTTTGTCTTTTTTTGAGATAGAGTCTCACTATGCAGTTCAGGCTGGCCTTTAGCTCACTTTGTAGCCCAGGCTGGCCTCGAACTCCCAATGATCCTCCTGCCTCAGCCTCCCAAGTGCTGGGGATTACAGGCATGTGCCACCATGGCTTAGTATTATCACTTACTTATTGTGGACTGATCAGGCCCCCCAATCTCCCAAAAGAGACAAATGGTATGAATTTAGGACTCTAGGAGTTTCAAAACCCTCTAACAGAATTCGAGATTCTCTGGAAGCTGAAATAAAGAACTTTTCTAGGCAGCCCATATTTATTTAGTTATCAAAGGAAGCACCTGGGCAGGACCCGGGGGGAGTCCTTTCAAGGACTTCTCCAAGTAAGACATTATGGTAATTTAGGAGAGCTATGCTATCTCCAGGAAGGTCTCTACCCAGGAGTGAGATGCCTGAGGCTATGGTCTTTATCTAGTTGAGTTTGGAGCTAGGTGTCCTTAGCTGTAGCCTTGTCTTTTGAGGTATGAAGGCTTCACTCACCATTACAGGCCTCAGTGGGGACCAGTGACTCACAGAGGTTCACTTACTATGAGTCCATCGCCCATCACCAGACAAGGAGCCTAGGCTTTGGACAGACTCACAAGTAAACATGGAAAGCCAATTGGTTAATTTAAGTCCTGCTCAGAGCCACTTCATAGTCGTCTCCACCATGTGAGATATGAAAACAAACAGCGAATGTTGCTGACAAGTGCATCCGACAGACAGGCACCGTAAAGACATTATGGTACGTCCTCATCCATGGTGTTCGCTGGGCCTGACGCTGTTACTTCTGGCTCCTCCCCAAAGTCAAATGAACATGAAAGGGAAACTCTTTCTTGAGACGGTTTCAGTTCAGGCTGCCTTCAAGTTGCTATGTAGCCCAGGCTGGCCTTGAGCTCACAGTGATCTTCCTGCCTCAGCTTCCCGAGTGCTGGGATTACATGAGCCACCATGCCTGGCTTGACAGATATTGGAGGCTCAGGGTTCAACCGCCAGAAATTTTAGATTAGCTGAGGAAAATGGAAGAAGGAAGGGCAGAGGAGAGGAGGAGAGGGGAAGAGGGAGGAATGGAGGTTGGTGACCGAGGAAAGTCAGAAAGGAAACAGGACAAAGGAGGGGGAGAGGAGGGGACAGGTAGGAAAGAGGAGAGAAGTGGAACCTGGAGGAGAAGCAGGACAGACTGAGCCACGGAGGAAGGGTGGCCGGGGCAACCTCGGTCGGAATGCACCCCACCCTGGCCTTGGGGCTGGGGACAGAGGAACTAGGCCACAAGGGGCCACGAGCACCAAAACTGCCACCCTGTAGCAGAGGCCGAGTCTGCAGGTCTCCCAGGTCCTGCGAACCTGGAGCAGCGCAGCCTGAGCTCGCGGCTCCACCTTGTGGCGGGACCTCGACTGTCTCCTTCCGGATGTTCCCGAGGTAGCTTTCCAGGGCCAGGAAGGGTCCCGAGCGGTGAGCTACATTGCTGTTACTTCCCTCTCCGCATCTTACCAAGCACTAACATGCCAGGCATTCCCACACTAAATATTACATGGTTTTGGAGAACAGTACGAAGTGAATCTTGTAAGGTTTCCTTGGGAATCACCCTGCCAAGAGTCGTGCATTTGTGGTGTAATTATCCACTGGTTCTCAGCCCTCTGTGGGCACTTGTTTGCATTTTTTTCTCTCTCTCCTGGGGACTGAACCCAGGTCCTTGGCACTGAGCTACATCCCCAGC